GCCAGCTGGGGACTTGTACCGCTCTTTCCAGGCTGGATTTCTGTTGTATGTTGTGGGGGTTTTGTTTTGTTTTTAAATACAGCTTTCCTGATTGAAATCAGGCTCAATGCAAAAGAGACGCTAGGCTCCTCCAGCTCTCAACAAAATCTGCATGTTAGAAGCCTGTGTTGATGATCTGGAATAAATTATTTCAGGGAGGGTAAAGAGGATTTTCAGGTTTAAAGTCCTGTTATGCAAATCAGTTGTCTTCTGTTCTGCCTTTGCATTAACACAGCCTGTCATAGTTCTTCCGCCACGCTTCATCCTCTATTTCCAAATCTACATTTTTTCAGACAATTTGATTTCAAAATTATATTTACATTCTTAACGTCTCTTAATGAGCTTATTTCATTGGTAGCATAAACTTAATTATGAGTCACACCAGGGGCTCTTTTGGTGTGAATATTTCCTCCAATTTAGCCTGATCAAAGATTGCTGGGCCGTGTGAGAACCACAGCTTCAGACATTGCACTCATGTACATTAAGAATGAGTTAAATATTTTAAATGGAAACAATCTGCTCAAGTTAGTTACGTTTTTGGTAGAGACCAGAGGCTGAGTTCGGACTGTCTTTAAAAAACAAGAATAGCCCTTAACGTTTGGGGTGTACTGTAACATATTTTCCTTTGGAAGGCATCTCCAAATGGGCAAGTCCCAATAGCTGTTCCTCAAATCTAGACACCCTTAGTAATAGTAATAACAATAGTAATAATAATAATGATAATAATAATGTGAATTTTTAAAAGTTTTGGGGGAGGTAGGGTTGTTTGTTTTTTTAACTGAAAACTATATTCCAGTGCTGTGCTTTCATGCCTTTTGCAATTTTTTAAATGCCTATTTTCATTCTTTTATCTTTTGACCCCATTTGCTCAGGTGTAAAATGTCTCTCAGTTACTATGATGTATACCCCAAACATGGCACTGCAGATCTGGCTGTCAATGACAATATTGCTGTATGGCTTCTGCTTCATCCCTTTCTCTGGTGAGCTGTCAGATCTGCATGCAAGGTTAAAGTGCAGGCTAGGGAGCCACAGGCTCAAGTCCCTCACCCTACCCCTGCCTCATTGTAGCCCAGATTTTAAAATCTGACCCCTATATTTGGCTTCTTTATTTGCAGAGGTGGGATGCTTAGCACCCAGCTGCCCAAGGCTTTAGCTCCTCACTTCCTAGACATCTAATGTGGAACAGGAATGCACATGTGGTACTGCATAACAGCCAGAGATGGCATTATTGCTTCAGAGGTTTTCTGAGCAGACTTTGTATGCCATCAGTTAATTGCTAAGATTTATTTAGGAATTTGAATATTTACATTCTCTATACTTAGTTTAAATCATAAGCAAATCCCCATGCTTAGTCAGACCTCCTCCTGAATAGATCAGTGTCAGTCTGGCCCAGAATCACTTCCTGCATTTAAGGAATATTTAGTATCCCATTCATATGCTGAGAGGGTGTTTTTTGTTTGTTTGGTAGGGTTTTTTTTTAATCTCTGTGCTGCACTTCAGAGGAAAAAAAATACAGTTTTTAATCTTGGGTATGAATTTGCAGAACCCTCGCCACAGCTGTGAAAGGGAAGAGCTCTCATGCCTGCACTGAGCAGGATAACAAGCCCTGATGGTCCTAAGCAACCTCACCTGTAGCTTCCACCCACACCCCTGTGCCAGGACTCCGTTAAGCCCAGGCTCGAAGGTGTGTCCTTTTCCTTATGAAGGTGCTTGTCTCTAGCAGTCTCCTGGACCTGGCTCCTTACCTGGGCCCTGTTGGGCTGCTCCTTGACCTGTTCCTGCCACCCCACTGCTGCCTGCAGGTTCCTGGTGCTCCGGTAGCTCTGCTGCTGGGGAGGTCCGTGCCTGGCTGGTATGGTTCACCCTCCCCTTAGGAAGAAGCCCCACTCTGGTGCTCCCTGATGCTCAGTGAGGAAGCCCCCTGGAAGGGCTGTTTTCCTGGCAGTGCTTCCAAGGGCACTAAATCTCCTCTGCTGCTGGTGTTTAACTCAAACATCATTGTTACTTTGCTCCTACTGGCAGTCTCTGTGATACAGGAGACTGTGAAGGACTCACATGCCCCACCCAGAGGGGTGGGTAAGTAACTTCATTATTCCTTTGCAAAACTTGAAAGACTAAAATTTCTTCCTTTTTTTGCCAATTTTATGTCTCTCAAATATAGTTACTTCTAACTTCCCCAAAGAAAGTGAGCAGAATACCTAATCTTTAGGCTTGTGCTTGATAGCTGCATTTGACTTTTAGTAAATATTTATGGATTCTTTAATTAATCAACAGAGATAAAAGGCAGGAACTGAAGGAGTGAGAACCTAAAGGAAACATCAAAAAAAGCACAGCCTTTTTATACCTAATTAAGAAGAAATACTATCTTAATGAAAACTCTCAAGCAAGTGGAGAGTGAGTGAGCAAAATCAGATCAAAGGCACTCAATCAAAGCCCATTTTATATGAGGCACATTATTCCTCAAATAAACAATGTGTGCTGTGAAAGGGAGTGCTGCAATATTGGCAGTAGAGATATTGTGAGATTAAATCTGTTAGTTTTAGCATCTTTCTGGCTTATCCTGCTTTTTTTCTCAGGAATCATTTTCCAAGTACAGCACTACTGAGCTTAATGTGAATACACTGGTAGGATCTCAGTAGACAAAAGCAATCACTTAAGGATAGATGCTGGTACTATTTTGTGTTTTGTGCTGTTTTTCATGTTTGAAACACTGTAAATCTGTACTAATGCCACTTAAGTAAATGGAACTAATCTGGTCTTAATTGTATTTTGATTTCCACTCTAAGGAGCCCATAACAAGGTATGATATCTGGAGTAAAAATATAAATATATATTAATGAATCATGAGAAGAACTACTACAACTAGAAGAAAATGTTAGCAGCAAAACACAACACAGATGAACTTTAAGTTCTCATATGCAAATACTGTTTGGAAGTTCTTGCAGCTCCACCAGTCCTACAACTGTGTCTAGTCCAACAATGTCTAGTCACTAACTCGCCAAGTCAAAAATTAAATAGGTTTCAGCATGGACAAGGGAATAACATGATTCTGAGAAAGGCTGCACTAAGTTAAAGATGAAAGAAAAAATTCAGTACTAGGCCAAATAGGCATTTGTTCCACCAGCAGAAGCACAATAATACTTTATTCAAGATGCTTTCCAGTCTCCATCTGGGAGGGTTCCTGAGACAAAGATTAATGTTGCAACTTAATGATTGTTAAAAAATCAAACTGATAATACCCTAATGGCATGGGTTTTTTTTTAATGAAGAAGTTTTAGGAAATAGTTTTACTGCTTTTTAAGACCCCTTTTATCTTCTAAATTCAGCACATTTTTGTCTTCTTTAGTTCTGAACCTGTTTTGTTTTCATGTCCATTTATCATAACAAGACTAACTGAATAATTAATGCCATGACTTCATATACCTCCTGCTCTTCTATTTTTCTTTTTTTCCACTTATCTTTAGGGTGTGAGACCAAACCTGAGTTCTCTGTTCAAAGTGGCCATAAACTCATACACAGCAACAGGGAGCTGATATACTGAAACAGTGGTGATTCCTGTTTGTTCTTTAGTCCTTCCCTAATAATTTCAAGTATTTGATTACCTAGCTTAGTTAAGGCAAACCAATAAATTGGTCAATTCAGACAATGACTCCAAGATTATCTTTTCCTCTGATAAAAGTTACTGTAGGTAGTGATACTGTCTCTATAAGCCTGTCTTTGTGACTGATTCTGCATTACAAGACCCTTTCCTGATGCCTACTTAGCTGGAAATTCAGTATCATGAGACTACTGCAATTCTTCAAGTTGATGGTTTTTTTCTGCACAAAATGATTTTGTAAAATTCTGTATAACCCTGCCATCCCCCTATTTACTTAATTCCCTCCTAGTTAATTAATATAGTGCCTATTACAGATTAATGTGGGATTGTGTTGATAAACTGTTTCTTGAAGAAGCAAACTAGTCTTTCATCTCTCTGATTTAATGCCTTAGTTATTTATAACAGGATCTGTCTTTGTACTATGTAATAGATTGCTTCCCCCCCACCCCCTAATATCTTTTGGTGAGTGACCTTGCCAAAAGCCTCTAAAAATCACACATTTATCTACCTGCTTCTGATTCGAGGAATACCAATATATCTCTGTGGCATAATTTCCCTGTACAAAGCCATTTCCCTGTCCTGAGCCATTATTCACATTATAATTTTGACTTAATTCTATTCTCTACTGTAGCTTTTACTGTAGCCAAGTTTCAAAATCTGATTTAACAGTTTGTATTTGCTCACAACCTCCTTAGAAACTTTTTCAAAAAAGAAAACCCAGCAAACCACCTCTTGCACTCACCAGCTTTGGCCCCCTGTGCTGCAGTGATCTAGAGTTTGATCATTTTGTAAGTGATTGCCTTCTCTGGATGGGCATCCAGGGGCACAAGGAAGCATGGAGCCCTGGCATGTGTTTGCTGTGTGTGGCTTTGACCTCACAGCGCACTGGAAAACAAAGCCAACCTGTACTCATGGTGTTGCTGGCCCAAGGGAGAAATACTAGAAAGACTGTCCATAAAGTGAAATCTGTGGATGATTAAAAACCTCACTGAAAAATGCTTTGAATTTTGGATAAACAGTTTCTGTAGTCTGGAAAGTAGGTGTATTTTAAGACCTGTTATTACTGCAGTCTAGGAGAGCTTCTTTGTTCTTGGAGCTCCACAGATGTTTTCAAATTAAAATACAGATTTGCAATATGAATGTATGTAGAGATGGAGAAATGATTATTTGTTTTCTTTGCTGAAGCACAAAGACTAAGTAATTGCCCAAGACAACACTGGCAGTTTGAGTGAAACAAAGTTAATTTTTGTAACTTACTCATATTTGTAAATTATGGGTTTAACTTTCACAATTAAGTATCATATATCCTACAGTGGAAAATGTTATTTGTACTTTTAATCATTTTACCTTCTCTATTTTACAGAAACTGGTGTGCTTATGTCCATACCAGACTCATTCCTACAGTTGTGGTGGATAACCTAGAAACCTTCTCATCAGGCAGAGCAAAGCCTTGCACTTGGCAAATTGGATCCTGTGCGCAGAGGTATGGAGATCTGAGGAGAAAGACTATTTGCAAGTACTTTAATTACAACCAAATATACCATAAATATAACTATAACTTGAAAAATTAAAAGAGAAATAAGAGGGAGCATGCCTTCACTCTGGCACCCTCCTGTCAGTTCAAAGTCTTCGAGTCAAAGAGAGGTGCACAAGTACAAAGCTTTAAAGCATATGCAGGGAAGAAAATCCTTTCTGTGCAGTTTTCCAGGCTTGTGCTCTGTTGAAGCAAAAGGCTTCCCCTGAGAGGCATAAATATTTTTGTTGTGATCTCTCTGTTTAATGCTTATTTCTGGCACAGCTTTAGTCAGGCAGTGAACCTAGACAAGTAATTGGCCTGGATGGAACTTGTAAATAATACCTCTGTTAAGCATTCAGGTTGTCCTTTGTGGTTTGGGTGCCTCATTGTGTTCTCTAAATGTTAGATTTCAGTCATAAGTGAAATTGGATTTTCATGCATGAATTTGGAAAATGGCAAAATGAAACAGCACCAGCAAAATGGAGATTGTAATGTATTTTTCCCTTGACAAATTTTAAAAGCCTCTTAAAAGTCAGTTTGGCTGTTCTGAGAATTGTCCTCTAGATGGTATGGCAGAACACATTTAAAGCTTTGAGTTGAAACTGGGAATAGAGCTTCCTTTGCATTTGGTGGCTCTGAAATGCAGTTGACTGCATGACAAAAGTGTGGAGTGGACCCTGTGGTTGAAATGTTGCCAATTTTGTTATTTTGGTTTAGTTTTTTTTTTTGTATTTCATTTGCTTTAAGTCCTTGTGCTGCTCCTATAAATAAGGCTCTACTACATAAATTCCTGAGACTCGTTTATGTGGAATTTTTTTAAGTGGGTTATTTTTGAAATTGCTATTCCTGATTAATTCCTTTCATGGACACTTCATTTTTATGAGTGGTTTTAGGAATGGATTATGCTAATATAGAATAAAGTGGTTTTTATCATAAGACCATCCATACAGCAAAATAACCAGGAACTCTCTTGAATTCAGATCACCTTAATCTTTATTAGTTCTTGCCACTGAAAAACTCATTTCTTAAAGCCAAAGCTGGCTGGGGACACATGCAAAGCTTCTGCCAGCTGCTATGAGAATTTTAATATATAAAATATTACATCCCTTGGGAAGGGGGGACAACATTAACTGGAGTATAAAATACAGCGGAATTTTTTAATGCGTTGGGAGGATATTTTTTTGGTCTGACAGCCTTTAAATTTGTCTCTTTCTGGAATGATTTATACAGGGATTGTGTGTACAAAACAATTCAGTAACTGTTTTATCATCATATTTTCTGAGATTTTAGGTGTTCTTCGTGTTAGTGCTTATAACTAGTAACAACATGTGACATTATTTTTATTTGAACTTTGTATTTAACATCTTAAAAGGGCAAGGAGAGTTGCTGTAGTTTATTCTGTAGGCCCACTGATTTCTCTGTGAAGTTAAGAAACCTAGGAGAAGTGATGGGGCAGCCAGGACATGTACAATCTGTTGGAAGACAGAAATAAAATTGCTGCTTTCTCTGCAGTTTCATACAGTAAAAGTAATAACTGAGGCCTCACAATTACATAGAAAGGCCTTCCTTTCCCTGAAATTCAGAGTGGAATTTTTCACACTTTATTGGATTAATGTTTGTATAACCTTGTTTAAAATAATTAGAAGGGAGGGTTTTCAGTGTGCACTAAATGTGTGCTGATGTGGTGTAAATTTATTGTGAATGCATTTTTCCACCGATTTCAAAGAAAAGTGGTACATGAAAATCGTGGTTTTGGCTCCCTTTCTTCAGTTTAGTAGCTATTAATTGTAATGTCTTCCATAAAAGACTGCAGTATTTGAATACTGAGTGAGATATTCTGAGAAGAAATCTAAATAGACATCAGGTTTCTTTAAAATTCATGCAGATAATCTGAAGGTTGCAGTATTAAAGCTGTGATTACTAATGAAACACCAAACCCTGGTTAGAATTCACTTTGAATTTCAAGAAGTAATAAAAGGATATGACAAGTGAGATAATGTAATGAAGTTATGCAGGTATCTTACAGCTCCTCTTTGGTTACCTAAAGCAGATTTAAATTGTTCTCATTTCACAGGTCCCAGACAACAACACACCAGGCTTACAGAATCAAACATAAAATAGTGACATCGCTGGAGTGGAAGTGCTGTCCTGGGTACAGTGGGCAAAACTGCCAACCCAAAGGTGAGTGGACTTGTAAGGGTCTGAGCTATTCACTTCAGCAAAAGAAAACAATGCAAATGTGACCTGTGAGCAAATGGCTCTGTTGAAAACAAATGCAGTGCTTTCTGTTAAATTCAAAACAAGAAAAAATGCACAGTAAGAAAAATTGCTTTGGTATGTTGACTCTTCTCTGCACGTGAATTTCCAGAGTATCTAAGCAGAATGTCTTTTCCCCTCTTCCACTCTAAACAAAGCTCATAAAATCTCCAGCCATATTTCATTTTGCTAAAATATGGAGTTTGCATTTAGTGAGTCTCTACTTTTGACCTTTTAGTTATTGAGAATTGCAGTGCTGGGGGAATTAAAGCCAGGTCCTCTATTGAATACTTGCTGTAATATTCCTCTACAGCAGTGCTACTCTTTTGCCTTTTGGTTTCAGGCTCTAAGAATATATTTTGCTTGTGATAAAATAATGTATCATTTTTTTTTTTTTTTACTTCTCTGAATTTTGTAGTTCTTCTGCTGTTCATTTCAACAGTGACTGAATTTTTCTAGGTATTACACATGATCCCTGTATAATTGTGTCCTTTTTGACAGAATAGCCTTTTACCTCTGTCCTGGTCGTCAAACATGTGGCATCAGATTGTAATTTTACATCTGTATAAAAGCTCTTTCTTTGCTGCTGGCCTTAAGCAAGCAGTCCTTGAAATATTAGATGTGGCATCAGCATACAGGTTTTAAATTAATGAATATTGCAAGAAAGGCTATTAGATATGATAGGGAATTCAATCAGCAGAGGTAAAGGGCTGTGATTAAAAATTAATGTAGAGGAATGAAGAAAAATCACTATTGTTCACATCCAGGAGGGAAATTTCAGTGCCAAAGAGCCAGAATGTTGGCAGGCACAAAATTCTCCTCTGCACTGCACTGTGGAGTCAGACATTAACAGACAGAGCACAGTTGGTCAGCAAGGCTCTTCAGTGAGCATGGATCAAGTGTTTTAAATATTTCCCTTCAGAAAAGAGCAAACATTAACAAAAATATATTTTAAAAAATGTAAAGGGTAGCATTGAAGGGGGATGTCACAGTTGACAAAATTGAAGTGGCATCAAAACAACAGGCAAACACTGACCAGGAAGAAAATCTGTATAACTCAATTCGTAGTGGCATCTGTGTAAAAAGTAAGAATAAAGGGAAGTTCTGTGAAGTGTTAGAGTGGCAGGTGTTACATCTCCTGGATTCTATTTTCAAACCTCTTCTGGCTTGCTGAATAACTTGGGGAAGCCTCTTATAATCTGCATAACCAAGTTTACCCATCTAGAAAATTGAGATGACACTTATCTCACAGGGGCACTGGGATATTTAATTAATTAATGCTTGTAGAAGTGCTTAAAGAGATTGGGATGAAAGATGTTATGTCAGAGAAGCTTTTCTTCCTTGCTTCTGGAATCCTGCCTCCCATGAGGAGCAGACCACCAGCACAAGCCTGCCTGTATTATTCAATTCCCATGAAGGGACGTGGGCTAATGAACTTGAACAGCTGGGAGCCCAATAGCCTTGTCTTCCTGCGCTCCAAGACAGCAGGGGAGAGTCACTGAAAGTGCTGAGTGGGGCTCTCTGAGTCACTGAGCCTCCCACTTGGCCTCGCTGTTGTTCAACAACAGAATTGTTTCTGAAGGGTTTCTGTGCCAAGGGAACTGGGGTGTTCTGACAATCCTTTGGATCCTGGAAAGGCGTTGTTAGTGTGATGTGGATTGCTTGTAGCAAAAGCTGATTTCAAATGCCTTCTGGTTTAACTTCTCTCTCAGAGTGAAGTCATATGTGACTATTTCAGTCTGATAGTCTAGGCAGGAAAAACCACTTAGCACCACCACCTGATAGCTATTACCAGACATCTGAAAGCCTTAAGGGGCTGGCCCTGTTGGAACTGCTTGGCTACAGATTCTTCTCAAGGTAGTGTGGTAATGAGAGAGATGGAAGTGATGTGTTCAGATCACTGTTTCTAACCCTACCTCCCTTGTTGGCTAAGACATGGATCCTATTCCAGTATGGACAATGCAATTTTAAAAGAAAGTTTGTAAGAATGAAAAAAACGTAGGCGTCATTTTTAGAAGGCTAACAAGACAAGTCAATATGGACGATTGAACAGTTAAAGCATCATCATTTTGACCTGAGAATATCAAATGTTTAATTGAGAGCAAAACCACTAAAACAAAAGGACACTTAAACTCGGAGTTGCAAACTTCATGGCGTCGCTTTTACTAGACAGAGCTTTATTTTAACTTTGTGTGTGTGTAGTAATGAAATCCCAGTTCCCCCATGCACATTCGGAACACCAAATTAAATGGTTTAGAGGCAGCAGCCGGCTCTGCCACAGCCACTATCAGCAGGGGAATTCCTTCGAGTGGCAGTGATGCCATTTTTCCAGCAGATGGCCGTACGATGTCCCATCCTCTGCGTGCGGCGAGTGGCACGCAGAAAAGGTGGGAATTCGCCTTGAAACAGAGGGAACGGGAGGAAACTACTAAATCCCCCGCTCTGGGAAACCCCTTCAGAACTCCTGCTTCATCAAAGATATATTGAGTCAAAAAGACGCAATTTTTTTTTTTTTTTTTTTTTTTTTTTTTTTTTTTTTTTTTAATATTCCATGAAATCATTTTGAGTGCTGTGTTTAAAAATACATGGGACAATAACTTATACATCTAGGCCAATATATTGGATGATAGACACCTAATGTTAAATTTCTGTATGCATTTCCTGTTTTTCTGATACAACTGGAAGGGCTCATTGCTCAGGATTTCGTATTTTTTTTGTTTGTGGTGCTTTGTTATTGCAAGTGGCACCTCTAAGGTGGGTCTAGCTGTCTCATTCGAACTTTTTTTTTTTGTTTAAACTGAGCATGGCATATCTAATTTTTAAAAGGTCTCAAATGTAAGTCATTTGATGGCTATTTCTACCCTAAAGAGTATGAGTATTAGGTTTTTGGTCTGGTGCTCCCATCACACCTGCTGTTATCCAGCATCTACAATGGGAAATCTCAGCTGTGGGAATAAGGGGCACATAAATGTAATCACCATATGATGTCTTGGAGTGATTCCTTTGGAAAAGGCCTGAGCCCTGCTGGAAGAATGATGCAGGAGAAGTTATATTGCCAGTGACTCCTCTGAATTTGTTTCACAAATGAAAAGCCTGAGTTTCTAATGCTACTTGCCAGGTACCTTTCCTGTAGGGTGGTGAAATGAGATACGTACACAATTTGTGACTGTCTGTTTGTGAGGTTGGTGTGTGTGTGTGTGTGTATGCATCGCTGGCTCCAGCCCTTGCTGCTGTCAGAGGCTCTGCAGTGCACTTTGGCCTCGCTCCATGGCTGGCTTGCTCTGACTGAGATGCTATGTGCTTGGTCTCACAGCCATTATGTTACCTGAACAATTTTAAATGCGATCGCGGCCGCCCAGAACCACCTTTCCCCGTGTCGGGGCAGAGACACATAACAGCGGACCCCGACAAAGCATTAGTAAAACAAGCACACAGGGAGAAATATGTATCCTTGGAACTTTAAGAGTGAATAAAACTGTGAGGGTTTGGGTATTCTACAATGTGGGGCAATTTATTTACTAGGGAGGATGAAAAATGAGGTGGATAGTATATATATATTAAAAAATGGGCATCTGTAGCACCAACAGTGTCAGTGAATGCATTTAGAGCAATGGAAAGACCAGTAAATAAAAGAATAAAAAGACATTGATCAGCTGGTCTTTATCACAGGCAAGTAACTGACTCCCTTGTCATAGATTGTATCACCACAGCACCACCTAATAAATCCTGTATAATGAGTTGGGCTGACTGCAAGAATTTAGCTTCTGTCAAAAACCATGCCACAGAAAGATAAAGGAAGCTGTTAAAATTATAACCATTTGAGGATTTTGTATTTCTCATCAGGCAATTTGAAAAGATTATATCCAACTATTGGTCCATATGATAATTTCCTCTGAGTTTCTAGCCTAATTTTTACAACACCCTTAATTTACAACTTAAACACCTTATATTGTCCTAATTGCAGTCTATTTATCTTCAAATGTTATGTGACACATGGAATTTCTTGACCCCGCATTTTAATCTGTTTCCCTGGAAACTCGCATTATGGCTAAACTAGATTTTAATATTTGAAGTGCAAAATAATGTCACCATACCCAAGTTATTCTGCTTGTACTGTACTAAAGACTGGAAATCACATTAGTGCCACATAAGTGGCATTCCTTAGATATGCTCCTCCTGGAACATTGACTTCAAAATGTTCCACAAACTGAGCAAGTATATAAAAATGGGTATTAATTTACACTAGTAAATTTATTACCTTATTTGTACATATTTTGTTTTTCAAAAAAGTAAAGTAAAACAACATCAATAAGCCTGATGGCTAGAGAATGTATGTCAGGAATATGGAAGTTTCAGTTCTGTTCCCAGCTATCTGATCAGTTCATTGCTTTTTGTGAGTGGAGGTGCTTAACTTTGTGGACCTCAGTTTCTACAGCTGTGATATTGAATTAATAATGTTAGTCCAGATATTTGCAACTTTCGGATCTTTTAGGCTGAAATGTAAAATAACAGATAATCCCATCTGCCATCACCAGAGAAAATGTTTATAAAATTGCCACCTTTGTGAAGTTTTTTATATGTATACCAGTCATAAATGTCAGATGACATTTGTTGGAACTTAGAATTTGATTACGTTTTGAAATCGTTCTTATTTTTTAGGTGCTGCAAAAATGTAGTATCACCATTGCCTTTAGCAGTAAGATTTCCATGGTTGAAGATCTGTGTAAGCTGTAAAAAAAACAAAAAAAAAAACAAAAAAAAACCAAAAACAAACCAAAAGAACCCAACCCAAAAATCAGTTTCAACAAACCTGGTTAATTTTGCAATCATTAAAAATCCCTAATTAATTTTACAGTTGATAATCTCTGTATTGTCTTTATACTGCTGTTTTATATAGTTCTAAAATATTCCTCTAGAATTTTTTGCCCATGCCATTTAAAAATTGCCCATGTTCACTATAAAGCAAATTTTGACATTTTTATATTAACACCAGTCCCTGCCGTTCTTGGGAAGTCTTTTATAAAGCCAGTCACCATCTTCAGAAATGTGTTCCCACACTACGTGAAGCAGATAAGAGTCACTGCAATGGTCAGGCTTTGGTACAGAATAAAGAAAGAAAAAAACTGTTGTGCAATGATCCCAATTATCATGTTCTGTGGCTCTCTCACATTCTTTACTTTCCTTTTTCTCCCTTGTCTAGCTCAAGAACAGCAATCAGTTATACACAGCACCCAGGCTGAAAGCAGCAGAACTGCCAGTGAGAGGACACCAGGAGCTCTGCAGGACCCCAGTGGGCCAGGTCAGTTGTTAAAATTGCTCTCACCTCTACCCAGTCACTGAGATCACTGCAAAAACAATTTCAGGAAAATCTCTGCCTGCTGAAGGGACCTGAATGCAATGCCAATTTCTATCGGTCATGGTGCAGTGGTTTGCTCTTCTGATAAAGATGGGCAGAAGATACTGAATTTAAATGTACCAGCGGGTTAGAAATTTCAGGAGGTTTTGTGCCTAAATTAAAACAAGTAAAGTATTTGGTATAGCAATATTTAAACTATTATGTTATTGAATACAATCTATTAATTAACAGCAGGGGAAAAAAAAATAAAATTAAACCAAAAAACAAAGAAAAAAACCCCAGCCCAAATATAGGAGTAGCATAGACCAGCATTGCACACAGAAGAAAATGTAATGAAGTTATTGATTTTCTGAATACATGATTATTGCTATGTATTTTCTTACAAAAATTTGTTCTTTATTCAAAATCAGTACCAAGATGTTTGAAGCCTTAACAAGGGCAGCTCAGGTGTGTTTTAAGCTACTTATGTCTAGGATGATCAAATAACTAAGAAAGAAAGTGAGAGTTTAAACATTTATACCAGAGAGGCTTGAGAGTATTTCTTATTACCTTATGCACTTGCTCATTATTATGTTTACTTTATATAATCTGGATATTATGTTTTTGGAATACAACATCAGTGTTGTCTTGCACAAGTATGTACAGAAAAATGAGAATTGTAAGAGCTGGTCCATAACAAAAAAGATTTATTCAATAGTGATCTATATTGAGAAACTATGTTAGATGACTGCTTTGTGAAAAGCTTCTCCATGTTTTGGTTGCTAATTGCTGGAAGCTCTGTTTGGGAGAAATTCTGTGATGTTTGCCATTTTAGGAGGAGGCACCACACTGTTGCCTACACATGCTGCGACATGAATGGTGGCCATTTTCCATGGGGATTAAACCCCATTCTCCCAGTGTCTCAGGGTCAGGTCAGAGGTGGAATTTGGGGCTCCAAGGGCAGCCAGAGTCCTAGCTGATGGCAGCTTTGGTCTTGGAGAAATCCTGCCATGTTGATGATTTTTGGAGGCAGCATGTGACTTTGGCTACATGTGCCTGGTCTCAACTCGTGGCCCTTCTCTACTTGAAAAATGTACTTTTCCTGATGAGGAACCAAAAAATGGCCATGATGTGAAGGAGTTTTGAATGGAAGTATATTCTTTGAACTTTGTTACTACCTTCCTTTTCTTTTGAATCTATTGATTCTTGTCTTGTTTTTCTCTACACTGGCTTTTTTGTATAACCATTGTCTGTTCCATGCTGTGGTGTTGTCACTCACCTATTGGCCTATATCCAGAAACATTCTCCTGAAGCAAATAAATAAGTCAGGTTATATTCTCAGGTTTGTGTTTTGCAATTTTACATACCTTCTTGTGGGCTGTAATGCTTGCTGAGAGAACAAGGTGTCATAATTAAGATTTCCAGAGAGTTTTATGGAGATTTTACAAATGTATGTGCTTATATGCATGTATGTGGCTTTACTTTAAATCTTAATAGACAGGAGGAAAAAGAGGGAAAGATGGAATCTGGTGTGGAGATATAGAGGGGTATTTTTGAAAGGGAGTTAGGCTGCTGTGATTTGGTGATACTGTGTGAGCAACCAAGTCTCTTGGGGCTGGAGGGAGGAGGATGTTGAGTAAAGCAGACAGGGCCTATTATGAAAAAGTGAGTTTGATCAATAGAGGACTGAGACATGCCACTTCTGTTATTAGGAATTATGGTCTGAGAAATAAATCTGAAACTGGAATCTCTAACCTCCATGTTAATTGCTTTTCATTCATTTTTAAATCAAATTAGGTCAGTCTAGAAAGAGAGATACCTGTTATGGCTGTCAACCCTGCAAACACGGCCTGGGGCCAGGCCTGACTGCTGTGGTCTGTCATTGCATCAGCACCTGCTATGGCTCTACAAGCCAAATTCTGCTTTCAGCTCCCGTTTTGCAGCCACGCCACTTTCTGGCACAAAACCTCGCTTTCAGGTTCATCTACATTCTCTTCCTCCCTCAGTGGGAACTGATAAAAACCAAGCTAAAAAAAACATTACACCCCACAGGTTAGTTATCAGCTTGGATGACTGCATCGGAGCTGCTAATGAATTCAAATCCCTTTCTCATAGAAACAATTTAACCAGAAGTGTCCAGACCTGTTTGTCTCTCACAAAGATGCATTATGAACACAAAGGTCTATCAATGGCTGTCCTTGCAGTGCCAGTCAGAAAAACGGCCAGAGTCTAAACGAGCTGGTTGAGTTGGAAACAATTTAGTATCTGTGTAAGTAGATACCTTGGGCAGAGAACACAGTTGGAGATCCTAACATCCTAACCTAAAAGAGCCTTACTCTCCATTAAGTAACTAAACTTGCTTGGGGTTTTTAGAGACTTTGGACCCCTGTACTTTGACAGGATTTCTGATTAGAACTGTTTGCTCCCATAGGAATAGACACTGGTGCTGTAATGAAAAGTGACAAAAGATCAATAGGAATACTATAAAATTACACTAATAAATATTGGTATGCAATGCTAAAGAATCTCATCCATAGCAGTTTATTACGTAATAGTATAGCCCAGATAATTTTGGATAATATATCGTATGCCTAACATTCATGCATTTAGGCTGAATTATTGAAGGAGATGTTCTAGCTTTGCTTCCAGGAATTTGAGCATCTAATTTTATCAGCATCTTCTGAAAATCCCAGACTAAGTTTGATACCTGTCACCTGTCAAACTCAGATGGTTGGCTCAAGTCATGTGGAGTCCGAATTTTCAACATTGGGGTATCCTTCACCATTACCTATCTTAAAAGCATCCATCTAGCTTCAATTTTTAATGATAGACTAATCATTATTCCAAAGTAATTTATCTATCAGCTGTTTTTCTGCCTTGCTGCTGTGTTGAACAAGTCTTTATTTTGACCCTAACAATGGAAAGAAATGTATTCCTTCAGACACAAGCCTTGCAAATTCAGGAAATCATGTTATAAATGGTAAGTAAAAATGAATGCTTTTGTGATTGTGTTAAAGGAGATTGACTAAATGAGAGTTAACTGAATACCCTGTAGGCTGCTAGGTAGAGGAAGAAAGGCATTACGTTGATTAAAATAAGTTAACCATTCAGAAGATTCTTGTAGAATCATAAATACTTTATAATGGCTACATATGCTTCAGTAATTAGAAACTGCTGTGCTGCTGAATCTCACTAATACATGATACATGACAAAAATCAAGATGATTCACTCAAAACTAAACATTCAGAAAATTTTCACCCCACTTTTGGCTAATGTGTCTCAGTCAATTATACCTTCTTTTATTTATTCACTAAACAATGTTTAACAATACTTGTTTTGGTGGTTTTTTCTCATTTTGTTTCCTGACCAAGCACTTTTTCAAAAAATGAATGAGAAGATTAGCAGTCAGGAGATGAAACTGACTTTTCTACAGAAGAAGGTTGACAGCATTGCTGCTGCGATGAATGATGTGAGCAAGATGCTTTCTTCTCTGGAAGGCAAAATCAATGAAGATAAGGGCAGAGACTTCCAGTCTTTTCTAAAAGGTAAGAAAAATAAATTAATGTAATCACTCACCCTGTTAGAGGTGCCGGAAAAACAAAAGGCTAAAAATCTTCATAGACTGTTCTATTGTATTACTCAACACTTGTTGGGAGAACTAATTTTTAAAATTTCATTTCATAAGAGAGGAATTTGTTTATTTCAACATTTGCTATGGTGTTTTCATAATGACAAAAAATTTATATTCTTGGGTGCTTCGTCGTCTACGTGGTAGCTTAAGACACTATCAAGGCATTTTCATTTGCTTAGAGTATCTGCAAATATTCTTATGTCTGTTTTTGTTTATCTGGCAGCTGCTAAAGGATGTAGTATTTGTTTTGCTACCAAGTCTAATCAATGTTCTTTAATACATAATTCACACACACAGGGCAAACTATGAGGAATTCTGTGGTGGGTGTGTTTGTAATACAGCAAACATTGTGCTGAATAATTTGTCCCTGATTGTATTAGGCCATCTTTGATAAACACCTGTACTCATGTTCAGTATATGAGCAAAACACAGCTAGAGATCAGGAGCTTGGGCAGCTCCTCAGCAGCAGAATTATGCATCCATTTGTGGTGAATCCTGCAGCAAGATCTGTGTGTTACCCATCTCAAAGTGTTGTTTAACAAGCAGATTCAGACCGAAACTTTCATTTCTTCAATGTGCAATATTTTTCTCATTTTTCAGGAATATTCTCCAAACCATACACTCCAAACACTTCAGAATCCAAGGACTTTTCTACTATTTAAAAATAGAACGGTGGTTCTGGAGTTCCTTACATTGAGATAAAACTGAAGAAAACAATAAGTGGTTCCTTCAAATTGACCAAGTTGGGTGCCATTTCTTGTATTTTCAGTCCACTGTCTCCTGGGCTGCTCCTGCCATGTGCTAGATGGCTCTCTTGTATGCAAGTTCATTCCATCTCTTGATCAGTGGCCTGCTTTCACCTCTCCACATATTGCTAGATGGCATTCTTGACCCTTGGGTGCACATTTAATCTGCCTTTGAGTATTTTCCATTTCCCTTCTGCTTTCTCCTCATTCTTTTTTTTCTATTTCACTCATTCTAGCTGTCATTTTCATGCTAGTCTAAGAGGTGTTTTTCAGCATCCTGTGTTTCTGCTTCTGCACTCTCTATCACTATTTCAGGGTCTAAGTCTTAATTAAAATCTGTTGTCAAAACCTGCCTTCTTTGAAAATGCCCTTCAAGCCTTTATTGTTCTTTACCTGTAATGTTTTATATTATACCTGCTCAGAAAAAATCTCCAGCTGATTTTGATCTCCATTTTGATTTATCTTCTCAATCTATCTCCTAATCAAGGAGATATAGCACCAATGAAAAAGACACTGTCAACTACATTCCTTGGCTCTAATTATGAGCATTCCAACACAGGTTATTCTTGGCTTCTACATAGGTAAACAGCAGGAATTAAGAAAGGAGGAGAGAAAGAAAAGGTTAGTGTGTCTGTTGGCTTCTATGTGTAATGACAAATGGCAACTGCAGTTTCTGTCCAGGAAATATCAGTCAGTTGTACTCAAATGCCAAAATAGTATCCTAAAGTAGCAGGACCTGATAGGATCTTCCATACTATCCACTGTAGTACTGGACATTCTACCTTGCTAAAAATTACTCTTAGAAGCTCACCTGAAGCAAACCACAACTTTCCCAGTACTACTGCCACCCTGAAGCAACCTGCTTTTGAAGCACAGTTAAGTCTGTAGTTGCTTTTTGCTATTAAGGCATTTTCCTTCTTCACCTACTTTTCCATTTTGTTCTTCTGGTGCCAGATCCTTTTCTTACATCCATACATCACCTTTTTTTTTCTTATCACATGAGTTCTAATGTTCTGCCCAGCTTTGTATCAGGGTTTGTTAGGAGCAAGGTCTGATTCTGTGGCCAAACAATTCAATACAGTTTTAAAAGTCTTTAATTCTTGGTTTAATCTATGACTTCAGTGACACGAATATGTCATCTGCTGATGTAGAGGGCAACACTCACTGGAGTAACTGATATGCTCCTCTGTTTAGTTAATGAAACCTGTTGTGCATTTTAAAAATTGCTTTCCGCACTCAGGAAGCTGTTCCCATTTGTTACTTAGGGAAAATAACTTTGTGCTCTTTTTAATTTAAAAAGCTCTGCTTACTTCCTGCTATTATTTCCTTCCTCCGCTAACTCCATATTTAATACACACCTTTCCTCTCAATTATAAAAATGTACACTCCTTTCAAAATGAACTCAGTAACGGAGTGTTAATCACTTCCAAGTCAGAAATGTCATTTGCAGATGCATATATAACCTCAATTCAGTCTCCTGTGCGCATAAATTTATTTTGCACATTATTCTTCAAATAATTGAAACTGCAAAGAGCGTATATGTTGACACAGAGTAATTACACTCTTTGGTTTTCAGCCAGGAAGCTAAAATGAAAATTTATAATCTCATAAAAGGTGCAAGACATCTTTAACATTCACAGGTAGTTTGGACCTTTCTATTTCAAAATGAGCAACAGAGAAACTGAACTACATCCATGAGTGCACACATGTATTTGCAGCTCAAGCTTAACAATATACCCAATTGTCACCAAGTTTGGGTCAGGTCTTTGCGTGCACAAGTGTGCTCCCACAGCCCCTGCTGCACTTTGCTTATGAGCTACCCAGTTGTCCTAGCCAGAAAGCAGGATAGAGAGAAACCCAAAGCTGTCATGTTTAGCAGGCTCCACACTCCTCTGGTCAGGGAAACACCTGAAACCCAGAGCTGAGCTCTATACTACACGCACTATCCAACTGCATGGAGCTGGAATTGCTATTCCAGCAATTCCAGTTGGAGAGTGAGGCTGGCACCTCCGTGGCTGTCACAGAAAGAAAAGGTTGGTATAGACCCTCTGGAATGCCTCTCACAGATGAATGGTCTGTTATCAAGATTTGTTGCTGAGATGAAGAAATTTAATTAATTGCTCACTGAAGGTTTAGAGTAACCTTGGTTCTTTCCACAGCCATTACATTTTTCTCCACAGCTCATCGTGTTTCTTAGAGCACAGAACACTTTTCAGCATTAGCAAGTAACCTGACTAAACCATCCCTTGGAATGGTTTTTCTACATGTCAGTTTTTTAACTTGGTTTATATCTTGGTTTTTCCTCTCAGCTGCCAGGACACCTTTATTGTCAGATATTTCAGTGTGCACATAGATGTGCATGTTCATGTACAGGCATCGGTCCAGTCATTGACTTGCTCTTTAGGTAGTGAAAAGGAAGATAATGAAGGTAATTTCAGTATTATCACTGCTGTTTATTATACTTTATGTAAAATTGCTGGGACATTTGGGACCCCAGGTGACAATGATGGAGTTTAATTCTTAGGAAACTTCATGCTAGATTTCTGATGTGACTCTTTCCTCAGCTAGTAAACTTGGGTCTGATTTCCTCATACTTTACTGCACTTGCTGAGAATGTGCCTTCAAGTAAGTTTTGAAGACATGCCTCAGTGTTTTAGAGATGAAGAAATAAATTCCATGCTGTATAATTAATTGAGAATAAAATGGAAGAAGGGAACAGATAATTTCTGCCTTTATCAGTACAGTTTTAATCAGAGAACCTGTGGTCATTGAGGCATTGTAGAGGTTGAAGAGTTGAATCATTATATCACAGTCTGGCTGCAAATGTTCACAGGGTTTATGAAAATTGTGCAAAGAATGCTTCAGTGTTTTAGTGGGACAGCGGAGCTACCTTTGAAGAATAAATTAATACAATTCCTTCTATTCTCACACCAGAGCAGAACTACTGCTCTAATTGATTGAAATATGTTATGCAGAACTCTTTTATGCCTGTCTTGACCTCTCTAAGGCTATATGGGAAACATATTATCATGTTGTTTACTGGGGAAGAATTCACACATTCAGTTCTGCCTAGTGCTTTTCAGGATCAGAATTCCTAGGAGCTATTTAAGGAGTTGCAGAATGCAAGACCTAAAGTTTCTACCTTTAAAATGCCTGCATCTTGCAGCAGTTGTCGTGTTACTAAATTTAGCTGTTCAATAAGGCTATTTTTTAAATTTTGCTTCTTTCTTACAATAGTGTGTTGCATCATCACCTAGCACATACAATACAGTAGGAAGGTAATAATCTCTGCTTTCATTTCTTGACCAAAATCTTGTAAAGCAGATTTTTTTTTGCCTTACTTTTCTAGTGGAGAAAGCACACATCATTTTTTATGAGCAAGCCACAAAAGCACACAGATCTCCCCCTTTCAGTGCTCAGAAACAGCTTAGGCAAGAGGTCAAAGCTGGTACTACGTGTAGAGTTTGAGTTTGTCTTTTCAAAATACTAGCAAAAGTCCCACTGATTTCAGTAGAAACAGGATGGATCCTCAAACACTATAGCTGTATATAAACTGTAAACATCTTCTACTTTCTTAAGTACAATTTACTCTCTATGGGGGTAAATTGGGGCAGGGATGTGTGTTTCACCTCTGTGCAGCACTGTTTGCTCACATTGTGGGAAAACCTTAGATGTTACTAACACACTTGATTTGATTGTTTCTATATTTCTCCTTTCCCCCAAAGGTCTCAAATCCAGAAGTGTCAATGACTTAATCAAAGATGTGGTTGGAGAACACTTTCAAGTATTTCAAGGTGAAATGCAAGAGAGCATGGCTCAAATTTTCAAGACTATGTCTAGCATGTCAGGTGACCTTGAAAATACAAAAGAACTAGTCAAGCATTTGAACGAAACCCAAAATAAATTTGCTCAGGAGAAAGATAGTGGGCCAACAGAGCTGGACATTCTGGAGCTGAAGAGTCATATGGTGCAGATGAGAGAGGAAATGGCCCTCACTTGTGAGAAGCCTATGAAAGCTTTACAAGAAAAGCAGAAGTCCTTGGAAGTTAAGTTGGAGCACCAACAGTCAAGAAGTGTAATTTATTATCAGTCTTTAAATAAGAGCCTCTCGGAAATGAGAGATGCTCATGAACAACTGTTATCAGCTGAACAGTCTTCAAGACAAAACCTCCCCCCAGCAGATCAAGTCACGGAGTACAACGTTACAGAGTACATGATCACACTGCATGAGAAAGTGAAGAGACAAGGCATGATGGTGCTGGAGATCTATGATGACTTGAGAGTGCAAGATAGCAAGATCAGCAACCTCAGTGTTGCACTGGAAATTCAGTGGGACTCTGTTCTGGGGGTCTGTGATGACATGTTGTCAGAGAGCAGGACAGATTTCCAAGCACAGCTGGCAGCAGTCCAAGAAAGTGTGAGTGTTCTAAACAAAAGTCTCTCTGATGTGTTCCTTCCACTGGGCAATAAGATGGACAGAATGAATGAGCAAATTAATGACTTGTGCTATGATATGGAGATCCTGCAACCCTTGATTGAACAAGGGGTACCTTTTAGTCTAACTTCAGACTATGAGCAACAAATCCAAGCTAAAGAATTGAAAGAGAAACTTGAAAATCTCACTCTTGTTGTTAATGGAATGAATTCTGCAATGAAGGAACTTTCCAAAACTCAGGAAGGACTTAAAAATGAATCTCAGGCTTATCAGGAACTGTTTGAGAGTCATGTTAATGAATGCTTCATGGAAATGGAAGATGGATTAAACAAGACCATGATAGTAGTAAACACTGCTATCGATTCTATTCAAGATAACTATGTACTGAAAGATGTGCTACATGCTCTAAGAAACAAGACTGAAGTTTGCTGTGGCAGAGCTGAGGAACTGGACAGCCTCCTGGCCTTTATTCCCCAGTTCCAACACCTGAATGAATCCCTCCAGTCACTGCTTTATAACAAGAGATACAAAATTACTCCACAGGTAGCACCAACTCTTTCTGATCTTCCCTACGAGGAGTCTGACAAAACTATCCTCTACAGTTTAAGTAGAGTTTTCCAAATTTTAAATGATACATCATCAAAAGTGGAAAAGCGGCAACAAGATATCAGCCGCCTGGAAGAAAAACTATTTGACTCTGTGGAGGGTTCAAAGGACCATGAGGTTCGCCTTCTGAAGGTAGAGTCAAAAATTTCCAAGTTTTTGGCAGACAACTGTGTCTCACTCAAAAAACCCAAAGCTGCCTCAACAGAGAAAGAACAGGTGGTCTCACTTCAGCTCCAGGCACTGAGTTCCAGGATCAAGGCCCTGGAAGCCAAGTCCATCCGTTTCTCGAATGTCATTCCACTTGTGAACAAGACTGCTC